TGGGAAACCGCTCCACGTGCCCACACATGCCCCGTGCCGGGGACGGTGGTATCGTGGGCTCCATGCACCCTCCTCCGCCAACAGCTCCAAGGATCAGGCAGGTTTCTGCTGGGGCTGGGGCTGTGCTGAAGGTCCTCCTGAAATCTGGGTACTTTCCCACGCTACGCTTTGATCTCCGAACACAGGTGCCCGGCCACTGCGGGCACACAGCATGGTGCAGCACACCACGGGCTCTGTCGGTGATTTTGCTCTCTGGATTAGTTTGCTGATCCTCCAAAAACAACCTCCCCTTGCCCTCCCTGATCCCAGCTTTGTCAAACAACTGCCACGCTCTGCGTTCAGGGGCCGATGAGCAGCAGGCTGCACAAAGGGAGCTTCGCAGCAGCAAGGGGCACAAAGCAGAATTGCAAAATCAGACAAGAGGCGTATTACACCCGCCAGGACCTTGCCAAGCTGCAATCCTCCCATGCCGAAGCTTCTGGCATGTCCAACAGACCCAGCAGCACCCAGTGCCGCTGCAGAGCGTGACCAGCCCCTGCGTGTTGCCCAATGCCAGTTCCTCCTTGTCCCCGTGTCTGCAGCCCTCGCTCAGGGTAACCCCAGCCCTGCTGCCAGCAGTTGGTCTGTCATCTCTGCCAGTGCCTTTCTGGGACGGTGCCGTGCCCTCAGCAACCCAGGGGCCTGTAAGAGCCAAGCTGCCAGCCCAGGAGCTGGGCATCAAACACACAGGACACCACAGGAGCTAGAAACTGAAATGTGCTCTCCCGATTGCACTTGAGCTAAAGGCAGGCGTTCCCTGGAGCAGGGCTGCTTGAGGCCACCAGTCACCAGTGATGGGTGCCACAGCACCGGCCTCGGTGTGCCCCACGCCAAGCGACTCACCCTTCGGGCTCCCCTCGCGGCGTGTTTACACGATCCCAGCACAACACGGAGCCGGCAGCAGAGCGGTGCTCCGTGTGCTCTCAGGAAGCAGAGGAAGAATGGAGCTATAATAAGAGCAGGCGGACAATGAGCGCTGGCCCAGCGCGCGTGGGGCCACCCAGCACCCACGTGGCCGGTGCCACCACGAGCGCGTGCTCTTGGCCATGGCCACGCTCCCGGAGCTTGGCTCAGCCATGCCCCTCGCAAGCAGCGAAGGTGTTTTTGCAGGTCCCAGTAGGCAGCCGGCCCTTCTGCGAGCCTGGGTGGAGGGCTGGGTGCCTGCCTGCCTGTGGGAGACCGACATCGCCACCTCCTGATGGATGGTGGCCCAACTGACTGCCAGCCCAGCTCTGCTTGCCACCAGGAGCCCTCCTTTCTGTCTCCGTTGCTGGAAAAAAAGAGTGTGGACGCCCAGCACAGGCACTGGCCCCAGACCCCAGTGGGGTCTGATGGGTTCAGCCCCTGGACCGAGGATCCGGGAGGACTCAGGTCCATCTCAGCCCAGAGCGCTCTGGGTGATGCTCTCCCATCGACTCCTGTGGCAGATCCAAGCCTGAACACATGAAGTCTGTCCCAAAGCAGACAAGGGATGATGGCTAAGCTTTTTCCTTAGCACTGTCTTTTATTTTTACAGGTTAACACTAGGCGTGGAGGACATCCAAACGCTACGACAAAAGGCCTGTTTGCCTGAGCCCACACACCAGTCCGAATTCACATTGCTACGCAGACTAAAAACGAATGGGAAACAAGACGAGGAGCACACAGAGCTTCAGTCTCCTGGGAGGGAGGGACAGGACTGGCTTGGGAAATGCATCAGCCACGTGGAAGAACGGAGCCTTGAGGGCTTCCTGGAGCCAACAGGGCTTCCTGGAGCCAACAGGGATAGAGTAACCTGGAACATGGGGCTGAGTCCCTCCAGAGGCATCTCAGAACGAGCAGGCTGGGAAGGAGGCTACACATTAAGCCTACCTAGGTGGCAAGATTGCAGGTTGAGGGCCTATGCTTTACCACTAGGAACAGCCCCTGGGAACCCCCTTAGCTCAGGGGGAGACCCAGGGGCCAGCTGCATGTAACCCGTTAGCTGCCAAGCGTCCGTACCGTGAGGAAAGCCCTATCTCTGCCACTCAGCGGGCATCGGGGTCGGGTGAGCACCACACACACGACGGTCCCACCACACACCCCCTCTGTCCTCCTTCACGAACTCCTCTTCAGCCTCAGGGCATTGTCCAGGGCGACCAGCTGGCGCAAGAAACCCCGGTTGGGGATGATACCACGGTGGTCCTTGACCGTCTTTATGGCTTCTACAAGGGGCATGTGGTGGCGGATCATGAGGTAGGCGAGGACCAAGGTGGCCGACCTGCTCACCCCGACAGCACAGTGCACAAGGATCCTTCCTGGGGGTGAAACACAGGGGCTGTGTCACAGCAGACCCAATATCCCAATTAAAAAAAATAGTCAGGACCCAACTGTTTGCCGTGGTGCATCCTGGAGCTGTGGCTCAGGTGT